AGTTTTCGAGAGAAAGATTCTGCGAAAGATTTACGGACCTTTACGCGTTGGTGATGGCGAATATCGCAGACGATTTAACGATGAGCTGTATGAGCTTTACAACGATATAGACATAGTGCAGCGAATTAAAATTCAGCGGCTCCGCTGGCTTGGCCATGTCGTTCGGATGGACAGAAACGCTCCTGCTCTGAAAATATTCAACGCGGGCCGCGATGCTGGTAACAGAGGAAGAGGAAGGCCTCCTCTGCGTTGGAAAGACCAGGTGGAGAAGGACTTGGCTTCACTTGGCATTTCCAATTGGCGTCAGTTAGCACAGAAAAGAAATGACTGGCGTGCTGTTTTGGACTCGGCCAAAATCGCTTAGGCGGTTACAGCGCCAATTAAGAAGAAGAAGATACCTCTAGAAGTATAAATCCCCCCAAAAATATATTCCTAGGTGCGCCCCTCTATGTATGTATTTACTTTGAGTAAATGCTGAGCTATGACTGTACCAGTTAGTCCAACTTTTGATTCTGCTTGCCCTGTATGCCATTAAAGACAATACATTTCGCTTTTGACCTTAATGAAAAAGTCTGAAATTTCACAGAATACCTTAAATTGGCATTCGTTTTGATTTTTAAAATTTTTTTCAGAAATGAGACATTTCCAAAGAAAGTGCTATTTTTTTGCTCCCCTTTTTAAATTACTTAATAATAACAATAATAATAATAGATTGGCGCTTACACATATGTTAGTGTTTGGCCAAACTAAAAATGATTTCAATAATTTTCAACGTTTTGCTTTTATGTGGCAAGCACAATAAAAATACCGAGTTTGGTACAAATCGGTAGAACGGTTACCGAATATACATATATGCGATCATAAATGGGCGGTGCCACGCCCATTTTCCAAAATTTTACCATAAACGTGTTTCTTGGTGAAGAATTGTTGCAAGCATCAATTTTGAATAAATTAGCTTTAATATTTACTGATTTATCGAAGATTTTGTATTTCTCTAAATTACCGTTATATGGGATGTGGGCGTGATTATTGTCCGATTTTAAAAATTTTCCGCCATTTGGTATGCTATACCAAGGGTGCAGCGGTTACCAAGATATACACATGTAACCATAAGTGGGCGTGGCTACGCCCATTTTCCAAAAATGTTATAATATT